TCTTGGCAAAAATGTGAATTTAGAAGTTTCAAATTGGAGACAAGTATGGTGGCTCAGGCCTATAATCTTACTCAGAAAGTTTCATGAATTTCCCCCTCTGCCACTCAACCAATAAACAGCTGCAGCATGGTGTTGCACAATTGTCCTCCCAGGGGTTCAAGGACAGATACAGTCTCCAGTAGGGGAGTATAAATAGCAGAATTGCATTCCAGATAAAAAGCAAAAAAAAAAAAAAAAAAAAGGCTAAGAGTGAGCTCAAGTGGTAGAGCACCAACCTAACAAGTATGATGCACTGAGTAAAAATGTTGGGGGTCAGGTTAGATATGTTGAAGTATGGAAGAGACTAATCCACTCTAGAAATAATTTACAAGATACTACCTGTATACACAGGGAAATTGTTTTTTCGCAAGATAATGAGCATGCTTTCTAAAATAGGAAGAATAACGCTAATTCCTTCAATAAAGTATTCTTGACAATAAATATACTCTGATGCATTGAAATGTTACAAAGATTGAATTCAAACTCCTTCTTGACTAGAAAATGCTCAAGGATCAGATAAATGGCTGAGAGCTGGGCCTGAAATCACCAGTGGTTCCCTTATTGATAATACATAAGCATTTTTTGGAACCTGATAATATTTGTAATTTGTAGATACACATATGTTTGGTTTGGGGTACATATTATTTCCCTAGATAGTATTTCTAGTGAATTATAATTCCTCAAACAGATTGTTGAATCTCATTTATAGTCTTTATAAGAAAATTCTATACCTTAGGGAATTCCCTTAGCCCATAGGAAAAGGCCATAACGAAGTAAATTTTTAAATGTTTTTTATTGTAAAAATACTGTACAGAGGGGTTACAGTTACATGAGAAAGGTAATGAATACATTTCTTATTGAACATTGTTACCTCCCCCTTTTTTTCCTACCATCCCTTCCCCCCACCTCCCCAACTCTGCCCACTTCCCTCAAAGTTGTAAAGTTCGTTTTCAACATATACATCTCATTGTTACAATGGGTCAACCTATATCCTTATTTTAGCATTTTGTTATTTCTCTTCCCCTCTCCATTTACAATAGCTAGTATATGTCTAGGACAAGCAGAAAAGGTCAAAAGCTATATACATATGACCATATAAGATGATGTTAAGTGAAATGAACCCAAAGATAGGGACACAAGTGGTTTTTCCTTTCTTGCTATTGTTTTTTTTAACATATTTATAATGTACTGTGTGATTTTTTTTGTTTCTTTTTTATGTTCTTCCCCCACAGTATAACTCCTGTTTTCACTGTATTTGATTCTGGTGCCCTGCATCTTGTATATACATTTTTCTAATTTGGGGTGAAAATATGAAGCATAACTCTCTTCATATACTTATCTCTCTCCAAATTTGTGCACCTGTCTTAAAGGGTTCTGAAGAGTGGAGCTGGAATTTTCTGTGTGGCTTTTAATTCTGAATGCCTTTTGTCTTTTATACTTTCCTGCATCTGGCTTCCTAGTGACTATGGGTCTCTACACTGAAGAATACTCCCAATGCATGATGGCTTCTCCTGTCATACATTTTCTTCTTCCTCTGGTTTATGAGTGGCTACAGAAGAGCGGTGGAAGTTTGTCTCGCAGACTAGACCCAGCCAGCATCTCCTGCTATCGTATTTTACCTTCTTCTTTACACACAATCAAATATCTTTATTATTTTTCACTTTCTGCATGCAATACACTCTTTCATAAAGGAAATATTTCCTGTGGTTTTCCTTTGGAGGCATTTACCACCACTTCTGAGCCCAAGCTGGTGGCCAGCTCTCCTACAGAGAACCCAGACAATACACATTACAGAATGGAATCAAACTTGCCTTTAGGACTAGAAAATTATTGGTGCAGAGGTTGTTTGTCTTCAGCTCTTGTTCTTACTGGACCCCAAGATTACACTCACTTCACCAATTTACTCACCATTTCATTGCAGCTCTTACTATCTGACTTTTGTAACCATCAGCAGGTCATTTTCAAAAGAGAGAGATAAGGAATCTTGCTACACAATTATCAAAGTACTAAAAAATCTTGTCTTATGGAAAAATAAGTATATTTATATGTTTATATGTAAATTGTTTCATGTTGATCACTGAAATGAATGAGTCATCTTTTTAGCCAAATTTTGTTAAATATAGGTTTATGTTTTATTCTATTATTTTCTTATTCTATTATTTTCTTATGTTTTATTTCTATTATTTTCTTGGGACTAGAAGTGTGGCTCAGTGATTGTCATGTTATCATGTCAGCCCAGCAAATACAAAATCCTGAGTTCAAATCCCAGTACTCCCACTCCTGCCAAGAAAATTATCTTATTCTTTATACTAAACTAAACGATTAAAATTTGAATCTTTGGCTGGGCACCAGTGGCTCATGCCTGTAATCTTAGCTACTCAGGAGGATGAGATCTGAGGATTATGGTTTGAAGCCAGTTTTGGCAAGAAAGTCCATGACACTCTTATCTCCCATTAACCGCCAGAAAGCCAGAAATAAAAATGTGGCTCAAGTGGTAGAGTACTAAGCTTGAGAAAAATATAAAGATCTCAGGAACAGTGCCCAGGCTGAGTTCAAGCCCCACGACTGGCATGTGCACACATCCATCCCCCCCCTCCACATCCCCACACACACAACTTTGTATGTATCTTCTTCTGTTTTTGCCTCACTGGAATATGTAAGAGTATGTAAAAATTCTACGTTTTTTAAATTTACCTCCAAGTCTTGCTCTGATGGAAATGTTTTGTACTGCCCTGGAATTCCATTTCCTGTCCTGCTGTAGTTCTTCTAATAAAATTGTCTGCCTTTTTACTGTTGTTTGAAATCCCGTGTCTGGTCTAGGAACTCGATTTTGAGGTTTCACATCTTTGAAACTCCCCAAGTTTGGTATGGTTCTGCCAATGCCAGGCTTTAAATCAGCATCACTGCCTGGACTGACAAACCCTGAACAGGGGTCGCATAAGGGCAAATCATCCCGAAGTGGAAACAATGGATAATGTGGACCATATGGAGGGGGATAAGGACAGTATAAATGATAATCTGGCAGGAATGAAGGGGGGTAAGGATGAAATTTAAGAAAAGCAGGATCGTCTTTCTTTTCAAATCTGCCACAGTCATGTCTATCCTCATGCCCTTTCACAGAAGGTATGTTCAATTTTCTCAAGACATCGCAGTAATGTGGATAGTCTACATTCTCAACAGCCTTTCTTCTACAAAGGATGGTCCTTAGAGGGAACTTTATCTTCTTTGGTGTGTATTGGGCTTCCATGTCCATGGTCATTTTCTTTACAAACTTTGAGGCCCGTAAAGTTGTTCTGATGATTCTTTTTTATCTAAAAAAATCCCATATGTCCAACAATGGAAGATTACGGTTAACTTGACGTAAAACTATTGATTCAGCTTTCTAAATGTAGGTAGTTTTCTTTTCCTGGTTAATGTAAGAATGCTTTGTCCACCTAAGGATAAGTAGGGCACAGCCATTGTTTCTTAGCAACAACTAGAACTCTTACTTATCAATCCTTATATTATGTACATCACAATGTAATTATTAGGCAAAACAAGGCTGGGGAGGTTCATGTGGTAGAACATTCTCCTAGAATGTAAGAGCCTTGGATTCAATCCCAGGTACAAAACAACATCATCAAAAAACCCCCCAGGAATTCTTAGGTAAAACAATACCAATAAAATATAGCATTAGAGTAGTATTTCCATAGTATATTTCTCTTCAATTCTCAGGAAATCCATATTTATTAAAATTTTCATAAATTTACATTTTATGGATAAAATGACACCTATGTAAGGAGTCAAGGCAGTTGATCAATTTACATTTTAAAAGAATGTATGTGAATACAATAAAGCATTTACCTAATAAACTATAACACCTGAAATGTATTACAATTTAAATACGCCGCATTATACTGAGGTTGATGTATCTACATTTTAAGAAAATAAATTGACAAATTGTAAAGACTGATTTTTCACATATCCCTAAGGTATCCTTGATTCCTTTAATACTACTCAGACATGCAGAATTAGTGGGTCATTTCAAAAAACTAAAGTTATTATCTTATAAAGATCTCATTAAAAAATAATATACTACTTCATTTAAACCTGTCAATTTGGTTTTGCATGAAAGCAATTTTAAATATTAGAATTTCAGGACAGTGCTCAAAGGAGCCAGGCACGTAATAAATCAGGCCAACTGCAAGACAACAAGGAGTGAAGCAGTCTGTGGTATAACCTGAATGCTCACGAGAAATGAAATTGTTAGGCTGTCAGTTTGAAATTTGTGACATAGTATATCCAAACATACATACAGTGATTTTTTTCAGTCTGGTCAGTATCATTATTTATTCCTATAAAGGTGACAAAACTCCATCCTATTTTTAGTTGTTGACAACTTCTCTGTTTCTGCAACAACTGCGTATGACTTACTTCTAGTATATTGACGTTAGCAATCAGTAAACCTTTCTAGAAGTGTAGATCAGAGCCATAACTGTCTTTCAATTTAAGACACAGTCTCCTTAAGCGGATAATGCACGCGAGTGCACATCCGCGATGCTAGTCCTGGGGGCTTGAACTCAGTATCACTCATTGATTCCTATTAAATAAAGGTGACAAAACTCCATCCTGTTCGTTGTTGAGACTTCATTCTTGGATATTTTTACATCACCTGCATACGACCGATTTATGGTACAGTGTTGCGAGCGTTAAGGAACTCCTTCCAGAAACACCAATCAGAGGCTTGTTTCTCATTGTAAAACACACTGTGTGTGTCTGCTGGTCCTGGGCCTTGAACTCTGGGCCTGGGCGCTGACCCTGGGCTCCTTTGCTCAAGGCTAGCGCTCTACCACTTCCAACCTTTGTGGTTAATTGTTGATAAACGTTTCAGGGACTTTGCTGCGTGGGTTCTCAGCCTCCACAGTTGCCAGAATTACGAGCTATCTGTTCCTGTTCGTTTGTTGTATAACGTTTTGTCCGACATGAGGCGGTCGGATGACCTTCTAGGCTGGGCATTCTAGAAACGCCATTCAAATGGGAAAGCTACAGAGTTGAGGCTGAAGGTTCTCGAAGCTCTAGAATCTTCGACCACTCTCTCAGGCTATCCAAGATTCCCAGTTCTCACCAGGTGTTGACCCCCCAAGACCCGCCTAACAATCGGCGGAGGGCGCGCGCCTCCCCTCGGGCCCAGTTCCACTCCTACCTGCGGCCCGGGCGGAAGCGGAGGTGCGTTCCTCGGGGCCGTCCTTCCGGTCCACCGCCCGCCAACTTCCGGCGGCGGGTGGGCGCGCGCCTGGCAACGACCTTCTGCGCCCAGCGTCGGCGGGTGGCGGCCTGTGGATGGAGGCTTCGGCCCCCGTCCGGGCGTGGCAGGGGTGGCGGAGGGCCCGCCTCAGGCGCTCCTGGGTCACCCCGGCCGCCATCCTCCTCCTCCTCCTGTCCGCCTTCCTCGAGAGGTCCTCCCCGTCAGGTGAGGGCGGGCGCCCCGGGGGGGGGGCGGGCGGCGCGCTGTTCCCCAGGCAACCGCGGCGCCCCGGAGCAGTCGGCTTCCCGGGTCACGTGTTCCCCGTTCACAGACCGAAAAGCTTGTCTCACCCGGCCCTGACCACCCAGCTTTAGGTCGAGTAGCATAACCACGTTTGCCCAGGTGGGCGCGCGTTTTAATGTATGGACCTCCCGCGATAGCCACTCCTCCAGGTGTAACGTGTGCAGTGGCTCCACGAAGTCCACGGCTCGCCGCCCAGCTCCGCGGCCCAGCCTTCCTAAAACGACTGTGGTGTTGCCAAACCTGCGCGCAGCCCGCGGCTTTTAAGGCGTCTGTGGTGCGAGCGCGCCATCTGTCGGTGCCAGACGCAAGATGCAGCACCTGCGCGGATTTTCTTTTTTTTTTTTCTTTTCTAGTGTTGACAGGTGGAAGAACTGAAGTAGGTGTGTCCAAGTTTACTTAGGTAATTCTCGGATAGACGCTTAAGAAGGAACGGAGAGTTTAATGGAATTAGTTAACCTAGAAAGGTTTGGGGGGGGGGTGCGTTTCTTTGTCTTTACGTTCCATTATTTGTTTTTGTTTTTTTAAATAAATACAGAGAATACAGAATCCCACGTTGTCTGAGAATACAAAAAGACTTACTTGAAATGGTAAAACTTGTCCACAGAAGGGAGAAAGAAAAAGAAGTCATCTCCGAATATAAATGTGGAGAGAATCAGGGGTTAAGATGGAGTAAGGACAGAAATGGAGTTAATGGAGATCACGGGAGGAACAAACTTCAGACAGCTGGAAGGCAGAATGTTCTAAGAGAATAGCCTTTAAATTACCCTGTTGGTGAAAGATTTTCATTTTAAAATCTTGGAGTTTTTTTTCCCCCTTCAATAACAAAATTAGATCCATGAGGATGTAAGAAGTAGCATAATCATCTCGTATCTTAACATGTAAATTGTTAGTAGTAAAAGCTTGATACTGTGTAGCATTTCATAGTGAATACAATATTCCACCCAGTTTCTACAGTTGCATTGTAGGGCTTGAATTGATGTCAACCCCATTTTCAGGTGAGAAAAATGAAGCTCCTAGAGTTTAAAGTACGTGGCACAATTTGCACTTAAACTCAGGTCTGTAGCTTCTATTTCCACACTCTTAAACTTGACTAACTTGCTGCTGGTACATGGAAACAGTGCCTTGGAATGTTGCACTTGTATAATGCTTTCCCGTTTGTTCTGTTCACAACATTATGCCTATCAATATATTTATTTGACAGTGAATGGAGAATGTCAGAATATATTTCACAATCTTTTAATAGTTCCTATATGCAAGCTGTCATGCTTGGTAGTGATACTTAATAAATTGATATACATACAGATACATCAGTCAGTGAAATTTATCATTATGAATAAATTATGTATGTGCACAAATATGTACTACAATGTGGAATGAACATTAGAAGAGACTTGGTACTACTGTATTGTGACAGGCAAAAAATAAGAACAAGTGAGACCTGAAGGAGGAGAGATTATAATTTGGATCTGGAATGGTGGGAGATTGGGACTTGTAAAAGAAAATGTATGAGAAGATACAATAAAAAGCCAGGTGTGTAAGTAGGTTAGATTCATTAGAATGTGTGCATAGTGCTGGGACAGAGAAACAAGATGTCAAAGGAGACTGATTTATGATTCTTTCCTGGAGGCAACATCAAATATACTACAATATTCCACCACTTAAATATTTTGGAATTTGTTAGGAGGTAAAGTTTTGATCATTTGTTTTTGTTTTTCCATAGTTGAATATTTTGTTCGGTTACGAAGAGGTTTTCGCTTGACCCAGGAAACAGTGAAAATAGTGGGATCACCCTATAATCCAGGTATTACAAATGTAATTTCAGTAATTTTGAGAAATTTATTAGTATTTAACTATATCTACTTGTTCCAGTCTCCTAAGCTCCTTTTCCTTCTGCAGAAAAGAATTAAAAGCAGATGTTGGCAGTGTATGCCTATAATCCTAGTACTCAGCAGGCTGAGACAGGAAGATCTTGAATTCCAGACAATCCTGAGCTACCACAGACTAAGACCCTGTCTCAAAAAACATACATACTCAAGAAAATGAATTAAAATTGTTTCATATCAATCTTCTGGGTCTAAATCAGTGTGCTATAACTGCTTTTTTTTTTTAAAAAAAAAGGGGTTACAATTACATGGGCAGGATAATGCGTACATTTCTTACCAAGCATTGCAGCCTCCTCCTTTGGTTTACCCTTCACATCCCTTCCCAGCCTCCCCCTTCCCCCCCAATCCCAATCCTTCTCCTTCCTCCCCCTTGCCCCCCCCAAGTGTATGAAGGATAATATTTCTGTTACCTCAAGTTCCCTGTAATGTTTTTCTTTGTTATGTAACACACGCTATGATGTTAAATGTGGGCAGTTTGATAGTAAATTTGATATTCCATTTGAAAAATGGGATCTATATATCATAAAAATCTGGCATTTTCAAGATTTGATGTGACGCATAAGAACTACATTTTCAATTTTTACATTTTTAGGTGCCAGTCCTATGGCTTGAACTCAGGGCCTGGGGTGGTTTCCCTGAGTTTTTAGTTTGCTCAAGGCTAGTGCTCTGTCATTTGAACACAACTTCACTTTCAGCTTTATTTGGAGTTTATTGGAGATAAATCTTCTGGGCTTTCCTGCCTGGGCTGGCTTCAAATTGTGATCCTTAGATCTCAGCCTCCTGCATATTTAGGATTATATGTGTGAGCAACTGGTGCCCAGCAACATTTTCATTTTTTATTAGTTTAAATTTATTTGCCATAAAATGTCTCCTTTACTATTTCTCCTTTAATATGTATAGTTCAATCATTGTAGTGTCTTGACAAGCTTAGACAACAAACAGCACTATCTAATCTCACATTTTTAATCACTGTCAATAGAAGCACTATAGTCATTAAGGAGTCACTGTCCAGGCCCTGGATACCACTTAACTACTCTTGGTTTAGAATTGTGTGTCGTGTGTGGCCTTTTGTGTCTGGCTTGTTTCACTTAATATAATGTTGAGGCTCATTCCTGCTGTATCATCCTTTTTTTTTTTTACAAGTCCTAGAGCTTGAACTCAGGGTCTGGACACTGTCCTTGAGCCTCTCTGTGCTCAAGGCCAGCACTCTACCACTTGAACTACAGTGTCACTTCTGGCTTTTTCTGTTTATGTGGTACTGAGAAATCAAACCTAGAGCTTCAGGCATGCTTAGGCATGCATTCTACTGCTAAGCGACATTCACAGACCCTATATCATTCATTTTTATGGCTGAATAATGTTGTTTTGTATGTGATTCTATACTTTCACTTCTCTTAGTAGTAAGAATGATGGTGAAATTGCTAATGATATTTTTAACGTTTTTGCAGAAATGCCAAAGTAACTTTCGAAGCATTTAAAGTACTGCTTGTATTCAAACAAGCAATGTATGTAGGTTCAGATTTTTCTACATGCACATATTCTAGTGTATGTGTGCATGTGTCATGTGTGTGGGGTGGAGGGTTATTTTGCTGTGGCTTTGAATCGCATTTCTTTGTGGATTATAGCCATTCTAATGTGTGCATGCGTTTGTTATAGCCATTCGTGTGTGTGTGTGTGTGTGTGTGTGTGTGTGTGTGTGTGTGTGTGTGTATGTGTCACATGTTGGGGGGGTTATTTTGCTGTGGCTTTGAATTTTAAACAGGTTGTGAACTTTATGGGTTTTTTTGCTATTTAAATCTCCTTTTTTTGGCAGAAAAATTTGCCTATTCAAGTTCTATGCCTTTCTTAATACTTTGTTGTTTTTGATGAGTTGTAGAGTTCTTTGTGAATTCTCACTGTTAAGAGTCTTATCAGATTGATGATTTACAAATATTTTCTTCCATTCTGTGGAATGCATTCTGATTTTCAAACTCACAACTCCTCTGCCTTCCCCTTAGTGCTGGAATTACAGCTGTGATGCCATACCCATTGTATTTTCACTTAGTTAATGTGTCTTTTGAAACACACATTTTAAACTTTGATAAAATCTAATTTTATTTATGAAGTATAAGAAATTATTTTCTAATCATTAGTCACAGTTTATATCTTTTTGTTTCCTTGTAAGAGTGACATAGTTTTAGCTCTTACATTTAGGTCTTTGATCTATTTGATTTAATTATTGGTTATGATCAAACTCATTCTTTAATATATGGTTATCTTCCTGTTCTAGTACTGCTTATTAAAGAGACTCTTCTCTCCTCATTGGATTATCTTGGTGCCATTATTAGAAAACAATTAAGAGGTGAGAACCAGTGGCTTATGCCTGTAATCCTGGCTATTCAGGAGGCTGAGACCTGAGGATCCAAGTTTGATGCCTGCCCAGGCTGGAAAGTCCATGAGACTCTCCTCTCTAATTAAGCACTAAAAAAGCCAGAGAGCCAAAAGTGGAGGTGTGACTCAAGTGGTAGAGGGCTAGCCTTTAGTATAAAAGCTAAGGAACAGTGCCCAGACCCTGAGTTCAAGACCCCAAACCAGCAAAAGAAAAAACAAAAACCAACAAAAAAAATCCCCAAAACAATTAGAGACAATTATGTAGGTTTATGTATGGAATATTCTATTCTAATAGTCTGTAGGTATGCCTATTTCTATGTTCATACCTTGTTGCTTTATATGAAATTCAGAAATGATTAAATGTAAGTCCTTTCAGTTTGTTCTTTTTAAGATGATTATGGCTTGTATATGGCTTTTTTTTTTTTTTTGCAATTGCTTGTTAATTCTATAAACAGGAGTGTCAATTTCTGTAAAAATATCCATTGGGTTTCAAATAGGAATTGCACTGAATCTCTAGGTCAAATTAACAATATTAAGCTTTCCATTCTGTGAACATGAAATGCCTATTTAAGTCCAATTTCTCTTCATGATGCTTTATAGTATACCTACTACATTACTTTTCTTAAATTTATTTCTAAATATTTTATTATTTTGGTGTTATATGTAATGTTGAATTGTTTATTGTCAGCTTATAAAAGTACAATTATATTTTCATGTTGATATCATAACCTGCCAGCTTGCTTAATTCATGTACTTGCTCTAATTTTTGGAGGGGATTTCCTAAGACTTTTTTTTCTTGTGTGTGTGTATGTGTGTGTGTTTTGTCAGTGCTAGGGCTTGAACCCAGGGCATTAGAGCTGTCCCTGAGCTTTTTTGCTCAAGGCTAGTTATCTACCACTTGAGTCACAGCTCCACTTCCAGCTGTTTTGGTAGTTAATTGGAGATAGAGTCTCATGGACTTTCCTGCCCAGTCTGGCTTCAAATCATGATCCTTAGATCTTAGCCACCTGAGTGCTAGAATTATAGATGTGAGCTACCAAACACCTGGCTTCGACATCTTTAAATATGGTTATGTTTCTTACTTTCCAATATTAATGCCTAGTTTTCTTGCCAGTTGTTTCAGTTAGAATCTGCAGTTCAGTATTGATGATATCAAATATCCATTTTGCATCTGACCTTAGAAAGGAAAGGTTTCAGTTTTCACCATTAAGTATGGTCTGAACTATGAGCACATAAGTATTTTACACATACCTTTATTTAGGGTACTGGGGTTTGAACTCAGGAGCCCTGTATTTGCTAGGCAAGTGATCTACCACTTGAGCCACTCTAATGTCCTTTTTTGTGTTAGTTACTTTTTGAGATAAGATATTAGTCTATGCCCAGACTAGATGTGTAGCTGGAATGATAAATATATACTACCTCACCCAGCTATTGGCCATAATTGAGTCTAGTGAACTTTTCTTGCCCAAGTTAGCATCTATGATTCCCTGATCTATGACAGTCACCTAAATATAGCTAGAATTAGATTGAGCTACTACACTTGGCTTTTAATGTTATTAATGTTATTAATCAGGTTGAAGGAGTTTCTTTCTGTCACTAATTTCTTGAATGTTTTTATTATGAAATAATGTTAGATTTTGTCAAATTTATTTTACATATATAGAAATGGTTATTTGGCTTTTGTCTTTTATTCTATTAATATGCAATGTGTGGATTGATTTTTATAGTTTCAACTAACATTGCATTCTTGGGATTAATCACATTTGATTATAATCTGTAGATCTGGTTGCTAGCTTTTGAGGATTTTTATGACTATTCATGAGGGAAATTTGTCTGTTGTTTTGTGTGCTACCTTTGATTATGGTTTTAGGGTGTGCGATTAGCTACATAGAACAAGTTTAGATGTCTTCCTTTCTCTTCTGTAGTTTGAAAGAGTTGTGAAGAATTATACTAATTCTTTTTTGTTTGGTAGAATTCACCAGTGAATTAGCTGTTGCTAACTTTGTGCAAATTGTTTTGAAAACTAATGTTTCCCCTTTTTATGTCTCATTTAGTCATCATATTTTTATTAATTGAGGATCCGTTGTGTGTGATTAGTTGCTTCTCTTTGTTGTGATCACAAGTCTTTATGGATTTTGCCTGAAAATGTATTTGAGGAAGATCTCTTTGAGTTTATTTAACTGAAAATATTGAGCTTCTTGTTCTTTTTTAAAATTCATTTTCAATTATTTATTTTTAAATTTTATTGTAAAGGTATTGTACAGAGGGGTTATTGTTACATAAGTAAGGCAATGAGTTCTTGTTGAATATTGTTACCCTCCTCTTGTTTTTCTCCCAATTTCCCTTACCTCAAATTGTAAAGTTCATTTCCAGCATAGTGTCTCGTATTGCTGTTGCATTGGTTCACCCTTTGTCCTTTTTCTTACCGTTTTCTTATTCCCCTTCTTGTAGATTCAAATTTTCATCAATTTGAGGAAATTTTTCTCATCATTTGTTTATATATTCTTTGTGTCCCTATTTTTTCCCACGACTCTCATTATGTGTGTAT